CATTCTACTCTGATGAGAATGAGGAGAGGAAAAAGGATTGTGCTGTGGAGCGCCAGTAGCCTTGAGGAAGTCAGTAATGGTAAAGCTCAGAGAAGCTGTCCTTCAAGTGTATGTTCGCCAGGGCCCCGCAGGCGGGAAGAGTCACAGCGAGCACACTGACCCAGTTAGAGAGCTACAAGGAGGGATTGAGCGAAGCAGAAGTAGAAAGAGTGACAAGATCAGACTCTTCCTGCAAGCAATTCCAACAGATCGCGTCCAGATTGATCGTTTACGTAAATATATGAGTAAATTCTGAGTAATTTGCACGTAAAACAGACCTCTCTGGAAACTCTCCTCCGGATTCACAAACGCTTCGTAAACTTCCGATTTGATAGTTAAACATGTGTATGTTAATGAATTCCAATCATTTGTAAATGGGGCGCTCGTGCGCGCTCATTCACAATTAGCATATTCCCCGCCTGAATTACAGCTACGCAAATTGCGTGTCCAGGAACGCATTGGAATATTCTGGTCTACTTTCTCAGGCTTGGCTCCAGTATATTGCATAAATGCAAAAAAGACTAATAGGCCATATGCCTAACAATAAATATTCGATAAGGTGTCCACCAAAGAGTTTTTAGCCAGCTAAAACATTTCAGGCGCTCTTCTTAAAACGACCAGCTGGTGGTTTCTCCAGCTGAGATGCTTTGGTTGTTATGATTTGGAGTATCCACAGCGGCAACGTATTACTAGTATCTCATTTTTAAGAATTTTACTAAATATAAAAAAGCAGTAACCAGTAATATTGACTTCTCCATTGTTGTAGGCAGTCGCATTGTTGTGTGGTTGGTCAGTATTTGTCCCGCCCCTCCTCCATTGATTGGACGGCTGGGTAAATAGTGACAGTGACGAGCGCTGCGTTTTACAGTTATCAACTCTGCTACAAAAAAAGAGGGCTAGGGCAAATGAACTTGTAATTACCATGGCAGTACATCAAAATTCAGTGTCATCAGTTTGCCAAAAAGAACACAGAACATTTTACGCAGCATTTACATGTGGTAGGGAGCAGGTGTACATTTCTTTAGTACCAACTAACATTTTGAAAATACGAACATTTTCATGAATTCGAAAGTTTACGTCAGAACGGCTTCCCTTTCAGCCTCATTTTCAAGAAATAACTTGCTGGCGTACGTCACCCACCAGGCACTACCTGAACAACACAGATTTATGACTATTAGACTTTGCATAATCAGACCATGCAGTCAAATACTGACGGATTAAAATACCCTGGATAAAGTGTCCCTTTGTAACAGGTTGCCCATAGATTGTCTTGCATAAGGTCAACTTGGGTTACATAATAGACCTTAAAACAGCTCCAAGTGCTAGACGTGGGGCTGACCTGATCTCTGGGGGTAACGATGGCAGTGATGATTGTGAGAGATTCTTGTCTGTCTCTGGTGACAGGACAGGATCTGACACCCATACACGCCTCTGGGTTCTCAGGTATCCTCCATCTGGTCTCAGCTATCTGACGGCCTGATTATCTCAGCGCTATATGGGCAGCGGGAGGGTGTGTTAGGCGTGCTCCGGCTCTATCAGGCAGCCATGTGTAACAGTGATGTCAGCCTGCCTTGCACCGGTGGAAGCGAGCCGTCAGCTTTGGATGCTGCTGGAGAAGAGGTAGGAAGCACCCCGGAAGTTCGGAAAGGAGGATACAGGCTGAGAAGGAGAAATGGAAGGATGATTAGGGCTCGGAAGACAGTAGAGGAGAACCGAGTATGCGGGAAAGGGCGGAAGCGGAAGGTGACCTGGTACCACAGGCTTCTCGGCTACAGGTTAGTGACAGTCTAGTTTGACCAGGTCTTGCTGCATATCTCTTCAGCTGCAGAACTCCACTCTTTTACTTCTTATCTTACTGAGATCGAGAGTGGGCAGCTCAGAGAGATGATATCATAGCTGTGTATGTGGGTTGACACCTGACTTAAAGCGTGGAGGGAGTTTGCATCCCACACACAACTACAAAATCTAATTGGCCGAGACAATGGGAGCGGGGACAGAGATTATGATGCTGACAACAAGATTTAAGACTTAAATACACCAACGGTGGCGTGTGTTGGACTGTTGCCATGCCTACACAGGAGGGATGATATTACCGCAGGGTGTCGTGGGAGGGAGCGGCCGCTAGATTGAACACACATCCCCTGCGCTCGCACACGTAAACCCTCTCTCCATCCCTTCATGTCGGATAAACAGGAACCCGCACGGCAAATTAATACCGGCTGATGATAAATGTCACACACATGCACATCATCCTTCTGCAGTCTCTCGGTGAAGCCAGACCTCTGTCAAAGCTGGTTTTAGTAGAACTAATTCCATTATGGCAGTCTCGCTGATTGCTCTTCCTGTCTGTTTCCACCGGCGTGTGGCGTATTCTTTATCTCAAACTGTGTGCCATTCTGCCTGTGCGGTGTGCACTCAGTTGATTACTTTCTAGTGAAATGTTCTGCTGTCTGCGACATGACACTGTGTTTACCCAGGACTGATAATGCGCCCTAATGTATGGCGTCTTTAAACAGTGGACATCGTTGATTGATTTGCTTAATGCCATGGAATAATATTAAACAGAAATGCGTTACTCATTTACCTGACTGCAATGGGAAAGAGGACATGTACGTCTCAACCTCTCTATATCAGCCTGTGGATTTGATCATTTTAGTGCAATCACGTCCACAGAGACATGTGACACTAATGATTCAGCATTCAGGATGGTTTCTAACGAAAGCTTTCTTACTCGGCTCCTCATGTTGCATGTTTCCTTTTGTCATGAATGGCCTTTTTCTGATGCATGTGTCATCAAATTTCACATTTTGTTGCTCACAAGTCACTTTTTCATTGCTTAGGAGACTCTCTAAGGAAAAAGACATTGTTGAGATCTATTCTGAAATCTTTGAGAAGACATGTTAGATCATTTTTGTCAGGAAAAAAATCTGAGCGCTCAAGTCTTGTTTCAGAGAACCTGGTTTCGATTTTTCTTGCCTACGCATGTGTGACATATTTGTTTATGTATATTTGTTGTCGTGTTCCTGGCTTTCACCACAGTGGCATGTTTCCAACGCACATGTCATCTGCCAGTGGCTCTATTTTTAGCTCGGAGGGTAAAGGTGCGTGATCCCGTGGCCCCGGCTCGCTTTACAAAAGAGCTCGTAACTGGACTCTCGCTTGTGTTCTTTCTGATCGGGATAATTTTAGACGAGGATTTGAAACTTTCAGCAGGGTGTCAGGTGTACGGCCCACCATTTCCTCGTCCGTTGTTCTCTTCACCCCCTACCTCAGTTGCTTGTGTCGTGAGTGTGTGTAAAATTATACACCGAGCGTTGGGTCACTTTCAACCTTCGCTTCAAAAGGGACGGCCATATGGCGCTGTGTGTTTACTATGTTAAATACTGGAGGAAGATCAGGTGGCAACAGTTTTTGAGGAAGGAGCTTGGAGTTTCATCAAGTTCAGTTACACATTTTAATATGCACTTTGCTGGAAAGCTGGAGATATGAAACATGCATGCTACATGTTCACTTTGATATATTAGTAGCTTTAGATTTTTAATGCATGTTAACGTACATACTTTTAGGCTTTAGTATACTATTAACCTCCTTAAAGGGGTCATGAACTGCCCCTGTTTTTCATTTGTAATGTTCTCTGAGGTCGACTTATAAATATTACATCAAAAAACATCATAATTCAGAAGTAATATGCTATTTTCTGTTCTGTTTTTAAACCCCCCTCATCAGAACGCTCTGTTTGAATAGGCGTAGTGGATTGTAGACTCAGAAGTAAACACCCACTGCTATGATTGGCTAACAGTTGTGATTAAAATTCACATTCCGTGAGCACCAATAGCCTTTTGGGCAATGTGCCAACATATTGTGCTGTTGCGCTACGGGCGTCCCGAGTTCGAATCCCGGTTTGAGGACTTTTCACTATCACACCCCCCTCTCTCTCCCACTTTGCTTTCTGTCTCCTCTACACTGGCCTATCATAATAAAGTCAAAAACACCAAAAATGAATCTTTAAAAAAAAATAGAAAAAAACGCATTCCAGGGGATAAATATCACATATTGTGGTCGCTTCAACCCGCGGACATGAAAAACAACCCGTGGCAACAGTGTTAAAATTAATTCTGTGGAAAAACCGGGGGCTTGGCAACAATGTTTACGAGCCTAGACAACACACTACATGCGTGAATCGGTGGGCGGGGCTAAATAGGCAGCACTGTAGAAGCAGGCATTGATCTTTTCTGCGGAGGCGGTGTTTAGCCACACTATTACATCATAAAGTGGCACATTCCACAAGCTGTTGTTTTGGCAGACTGGCTTCAATATAAGCTGTTTTTAGACTAATGACAAAGTTTAGAGTTCTGAAACTTACAGCATGATTTTATAGTACAATGACCTCTTCTTATATGTCAAAAGATGAAGGGAATTTTGGTTTCTCGGTTCATGACCCCTTTTTGCTCTCTTTGTGCTTGTACAGACAGTGTGGGCTGTATTTGCGTAAATATAAGTTTGAGTAGATCTGTCTGTGATACTGGCATGGGATGATGGCTAATTCTATGGAAGAATGCCAGACAGAGGAAGTGATCACACGATACTGACTCATGCAAGTCCCTTGCTGGGACACAAGCACACACACATTGTGTCTAAGAACAGTCTTTGCTGATTTCATACCATATGAGGCAGAGGCTCTCTTTGCATGCAGGGAATTATGGGAACTTCCTGGCCAAGCAGACTGGTTAACAGATTGGTCTGGATCATTTTGATACTGGCACAAGGTAGACGGCCGTCTCCTGTTGTGTGTGTTTGTAGTGTGTCCCCGCTTTAGCTCCACAATGATTAGTCCTTTTATTTGCAACAGCAAGGAGCTCTAGCCCAGATGTCAAAACCTTCAGTTCAGCAAGGCCTCATTATTTTCTCTTGAATGCGTTTACTCTTGGGCTGAAGCTATTTGTGGTCGTTCTGTTCCACAGGAAAGCCATCTCACGGTCGGGCCTCCAGCATTTGGGTCCGGCCCACAGTCCATTCCCTGCCCTGAGCAATGGACCGGCCAAGGAGCTTCGCAGCACAGTGGACTGGAGCGTAAGTGTTCTTCATCTGTCTTTCACTCCAATTGTCTATCCAACTGTATGTCTTATCAGCTTTGCCATAAAAAAATGACTCTGGCAGTGCTGTGATGGTATCAGATGGTACTTCGATATAGACGGGAATCCTTTTGATTTGAGCCTAACAACCACACAAAACACCCTAGCAACCACCTAACAACTGCCCAGAGCCAGTGTTATTTTAGTATTATTTATATACTATTATAGTTTACTTATATGGTATTATTAATAATTTAACTTCGATTTCAGTTTTCATTTTAATTTTAGTTCATTTTTTTGTAGTTTTGTTGTGATTTTGTGATTATTCCTTTTAAATTATTTCTATTAAGCTTTGTTTTTATTTCAGTTTTAGTTTGTCATTTTAGTACTTAAATCTTATTTTATTTCAGTTTCTTGCATTACATTTTCTTTCTAACATTTTTCAACATTATTAATTAATTAATTTCAGTTTTGAAATAGCTTTGGATTAGCTTTTATTGTTATATTTTTATTTTAATTTGAGATTTATTCATTATTTATTTATTTTAGTTTTTAATTAGCTTAATTTTGTTTTGTACTTTTGTCTTTTTTATTAGTTTTTAAATACTTCTCTTTAGATTTAATATATTTTTATTTCTGTATAATAAGTTTTAGTAATTTTAGTACTTCAGCGTAAGCTAACTTATCTCAGTTAGTTGCAAACGCAATATTTCAAATTTTCAGTTAAATTTTTTAAGTTAAGGTTTTGTATGTAATATTTATATTTGATTTCATTTTATTTAGCAACAATAAAGCAATGTGCCATACACTTAGCATAATGATGAGTTCACCACAGTTGGAACTAGTTTACAATGTGTCATTTTTTTCTTACAATATATATAGTGTGATATATAATATGCGATATTCCCAGACTAAAGCGCTAATGTTGTTACTGTCAAAGACAAGGTTGTGGCATGGCAAAAGAGAGACTCGTTAATCCAGGTGCTGTGTGTACAGATGGAGACTGCTGAGGGGGCGGAGCCCAGCGGGACGCTTCCTGTGTGTCTTTGCTGGCCTTTTCTTCCCCGCTAGTTCCCGACGTGACCAGCGCAGCCATCAAACATTAATGTGCCTTCCTAAAGCTTCTAAGTGTGTGCGCGAGTCAGTGCTAATTGAAGCCTCACACAACAGTGTCGTTGTTGCCATATGAAATACGTGTGTGTGATTTCAATGTGCGCTGAATGTTTTTGTACTTAAATGCTCCTATACTTTGCATAAGTTTAGCTAGGGTGACCTCTTTTCACCGGACATGTCCTCTTTTTGGACCTAAAAAAATGCGTCCGGCCGGGATTTCTTAATCGCCCCAAATTTTCTTTAGCTCGCTCCCGCTGAATCTCTGACCAATGCATTTTCAAGTCTGAAAGTGTCATTTGTGAAGCCAGACTGAAAAATTGAGCCAACTGATGCTAAATGTTTTTGCTGAATTAAAATGATTAAAATGCCAAGCTCTAAAATATTTTATCGGGTAGAAACTGTGAGTAAAAATGTAGAATATTGTTGTAGGCAATGGGAGGCTTTGCAGTCACAAAGGTGAAGAACTACTGCTTTAAATTAGGGTGACCATACGTCCTCTTTTCGCCGGACATGTCCTCTTTTTGGACCTACAAAAATGCGTCCGGCCGGGATTTCTTAATCGCCCCAAATTTTCTTTAGCTCGCTCCCGCTGAATCTCTGACCATTGCCGCCTGCTCCCACAACATGTGTTTCGCTCCCGTGATTTTCGTGTCCACCCCTTTAAACATTCTAATATTGTATATAATTTTGGCGCATCAGGGAGCCGCTCTCAGTATGCAGAGTATTTAAATCTCTTTTGAATAAGCGTTCGCGCTGTTCACTTTCACTTTCGATTTCGCGATCACAAACACTCTGTGTAAAGGGAGCACATCTTGCAAGATCAGATATTTGTAAATGAGCTCAGGATCTGTTGAGCAGCAAATACTCCAGCATGGTCTTGTCAGTCATCTCTCCTTATTCTCGACCTGAGATCAGCTCTTCTTGGATGCAGGGTTGCCAAGTCCGCGTTTTTTCCACAGAATTGTGCTACTTTTAAACTGTTGCCATGGGCTGATTTTCCCAAGTGGGTTAAAGGTTTGAAATATTGCATAAATTACATTTGACTGAAATGCTTGTATTGAAACATTTTGCATTCTACCTATGATAAAACTTTCATGGACTTCTACATTAACTGTTCCCTCCTGGTGGAATGA